CGTGGTCGCGTGAATTTTTGATGTTCCATACACAATCACTTCAATTTTTGCGAACGGAGATTTCATGAAATTACACCCAACTATAAACACGTTACCACACAAAAGCACGTGTAGTACTGCCACGTACTTTTTTGCGGTTGTGCTGCATAGCTGTCCCAATGTGTTTTCTGAATCTTCCGCGCACTTTTTGCACCTCCGATTAGCACGGTTGGCTGCATACGGTGTGAAGGAAGTTCAACATTCTTAAATGATAGCCAACGTTTTTGCTCTACATATTGAGAGCTTCTTAAAAAAAATGGATGCAAATGATTTCACATCATTCAAAAATAACAGGTGATACAACCAACAAACATATCAGAGAACTGCAACATGTGGAGGTTTTTGTGTTTTACAAATAAGGGATTATTTTTCATCCTAATCACAATTCTGTATGTACATAACTGCGTTAAAGCTCATAATGAATAGCGAAACCTTTTGCCTGCTGTCCTTTATTGCCTTCTGGTGCATATACATTCGACACCGAGGTAGATCACTGGGTCTTACTCCAATCTCTGCGCTGCAGTCGTGTTCTGGTACACAATCAGCAGCTCTACCATCTGCTTACGGATGTCGTTAAAACGTCCGCATCGCTTTGTGTAACAGAAGGCCATTGTGCGCTGGTGGCATGCCAAGATTAAGCGGCTGCAGTAAATGGGTCATGTTCCAAATAATAAAGGAGGTCCTCGCTTTGTAAAGAGGCCGTAAGCTACTTATTTGAGAACAAAACCACCTCTGAAATATTTATTTCCAAAGAATACAAACACACATATATTAGCTCAAAATAACTCCGGTCAGAATAAATAATAGTGCTCCCTTCTATAACAAAGGGAAATTCTCTAGTGCTTCTAGCATGTGCACAGGCACAGGAATTACTTAAGTAAACAGGCATTTGGTTACGTGTATGAATGATTATTTCAGAAGGAAAGATATATTACTATATTTTAACTTGTATGCCTAGTTAGTGGTCTAGGAAGAAAATAAATATCCAAGTGATCATATAATGAACATACACTAGTAAAGATGTCTGATGTATTTTCGGTTTGTATCGTACGTTGTGCGGTATGATGCCTGACGTTTCACTGCACATTCTTATGTAAATGAGGCCATACTATTGGCATCTGTAGCATCTGCTTACAGATATCGTTCATTTCCTAAACAAGCTCTCAGCATGTGAAGGGAAAAGTCGGATATCATGCAACACGCAGTACTCTACAACCAGAAAATACATCTGAGAGTTATACAGCACAACTAAAAAAACACACAGTCGTAAAAAACAAATAAATTGATGCAAGAAAGCTCTTCATGAAGATGGGCAGTAGAAGGGCAGAACAGGTATTATTGAATGTTGGGTATTGATGACCAAATACGAACACGACACAAACCAAAAGTGTTGACATCTATTTGTGGAAACCTTCATTCAGTAAAAGATGGCTTGCAATTTGAGAATATGAATCAATAGTACTCAGATTGTAAATGTTGTGGATTTTCTCTCCAACACACTCGTGTGCTGGAAAAGTACCGAATTGGTATGTTCTGTTTACGTGACAAACTTTACTAATTGGCGGGTTTAAAGACACATTTATATTTATGCGATCTAACCCAAACAAAAACCTGTATTATGGATGAATAAATTCACCCACACATTATATCAACACTTCTAGCCATCTTTTCCCAAACCATTTAGAAAAATGTGGTGATGTACAACAAGTTAACTAAACTATTGTTGTAAGAAAGCAATGAAAACACAACAGAGTAGGTATATTCAGGGCAATTATTTAAGAAAAATTGAGATAACGAATTATAAAATAAGAGGCGAGCAAGATTAGGTTAGAGTGATTTTTGGAAAATTACATTTTATAATCTCAAGCAACATACCAATGTTTTCGAAGAGGAAAGTTTTCAATCAGTACAGACACTAAAAAATATGTACGGGACTGATGGGTACTTCCAAATACAAAGGAACAAAATATAAAAAGCACACAAAGAAGCATGGTGAATACGTACTGTCACAAATAGCGGAACACATTAGAGACATTATATTGATGGTTAGGAAAACTGGGCTTGGAAAGGACATCGCTCGAAGGGATGATGGCTAAAGATGGAACGTGCCCGACAGGATGATGAACCCCACAGAGATGAACCCCAATGAGATCATTGCATCCGCAGGAACGAGATGGATTATGGCATCGCAAGACCATGACGAATGGCGATGCCTGATCCCAGCAGCGGATCTACCGCGGCTGTTGATATGGATGTTGAAACGTTTCTAAAACGGGTGTGAAAATGTGAAAAACCAAATGCTTCATAATAATTACACCTGTTCAAGTGTGAAAACCCCATGGCTTTCGTATCCAGGCTGAAAAGGTGACATTTCCCACTTAGTGCTAGACTGCCCCCAACTGGTTAAAATCGTGGAGGTAAACGTGATAAATATACAAAAACGAAACGAAAACAAAACGGAGACACTGCATTGGCAGTGCCGCACAAGCATAAATAAAAAACCCAACACAGTCAATAACACTGCCCTACAAGGAAACACATGAGGAACTCATCACAAATTATGTTTTAGAAGCTTACCTGGGGGAACGGTGGCGCAGTGGTTAGCACTAATGAGTCATGAACCAGACCACGAATAACATCGGTGGCAAGTGATGTAACGCCCACGTATAATTCTCAGATGGGTGACTCAAACATATTTTTATAAGCCGAATGGAATAAGTTTCATCACAATCTGCGTGAATCTTAATCAACAGATATTATACATTTTCAGTGTAAAGATTCAACTATAAGCGATTGTTATTTAAACGCCATATAAATCCAAATTGTATTGTATAGTGTACTCAACTTACACGGTAACCACGGAATTGTTCCCAGTGGCATTTTATTTACGAATGCAGTTAAAGTACAAACGGCACGGCGGCCCAAGTCACCATATGATACATTTATTTGCCCCCGTTTCTCAGTTAAAATGTGCAACCTCATTCTTTCAATTGCCGCCCCGGGAAATCTAATCGAACTGGCGATCTGTGGATTGCAAAAGCAGTAGTAGTGTGATTGACGACCGTGTTGAGTTTTCTGGATCGCGAGCTGTGTTCCATAACCGCTCCCTTCGTTTCTCAGTTAACAGGTTCATGCTCGTTTTAACACGTAATAGGCTTTCGCGACCAATATATCAGAGGTGTTTTGGGTTAGATCGCGTAAATATATAAATGTGTCGTTAAAACCCGCCACCACCCGACACAGCCAACTAGTAAGGGTTGTCACGTAAACAGAACGTGGCCAATTCGTCACTAGTAGAGCACACCGGTGTGTTGGAGAGCCAAGCCACAACATTTACAATCTGAGTTCGACGTTTCGCCAGTAATTACAACTGGCTTTATGGTTCATACTCGATGTTGCATTTCTTGCGATACACTTCTAGACTTGAAGTGTGAAAAACCGGTTAATTTTTTTGCCCGGTATTTTTTATTCACCAGGTTACTGGTAATGCAAAAGAAATACCGATGTTGATCATACTGCCTCGTGCATATAACAAAGAACCTTAATACATTAATCATTAACACGACGGCCTTAAAAGGTGACGTGTTGGGCAATGGCCCTTAGAATATCCATTCCGTCAACTATCATTTAAATTAACTACCGTATTAAAATCACTAAAGTTTAAGTTGTGAATGTAATGTTACAATATACATTGATTTGGTTGAGTTTTTTTATCTACAATTGTGGAATGTTTTTGTTGTCTACCGGCCGAGTCGCCCATGAAAATCAGAGCTTCTGAACTCAATATCCTTGAACATTAACTTGTTTAAGTGATTTGTTTACCTTTACTTCCTATACGTTGCACTCCTATTGTGTTTTTGTATTGTCTGTTGTTGAGACGTTCTGACCTGCCATGACTGTAAGGACATCTGTGAAAAAGAGCTCCATAGCTCATCCGATTCCTCCAAGTATGTATCAGCAAATATTCTCATTCTGATCTCCCTGCTTACTCCGAGAGCGATCATTCCTTGCAAAAAGTTTATATTTGGTGTTTGAGCATCTTAACCCCTGTTTTATTGTTAGATCGCGTAGATGTGTGTCGTGAAACCTGCCACCACCTACACAGCCAATTATGAAGGTTATTGGTCGCGAAAGCCTACGTGTTAAACTCAATGTAATTATTTCAATCTTGATTTGAAGCAAATTAATTATTTACATCATTAGACCTTTTCCAGTACCAAAATATAATAATAGGGGTTTTCCCCTTTTTTCTGACAAAACTGAAACCTTTGTACAAGGAATCATGTCTGCATTAACCACAATACTTGTGGTCAAAATGCAAACAAAAACACACTCTCATAATATATGCATTGTTCTTGAAACTGATTGGTCCACACGGCTTTCTTTTGAGCCTCGTCTCAATGGGTGCGAGACCAGAGGACGCCAAGAGGCGCACAGCTCAAAGACAATCCACTATCAGAGTAATGAGGGCTCCGGGGTGAGCAGCGACATCATTAGACCTCCTTTGCCAGTACCAAAATATTAAAATAGAGTGATTTCCCTTTTTTGTTTGTGGTTAAAGTATCGTGGTCATAATGCACGCATGATTCCTTGTAAAAAGTTTTCAGTTTTGTTGCTAGAAAAAAGGGAGAAACCCCTATATTTTAATTAATTAATGATGTTATTATCTGAATGTGGAAAACATCTCCCGGAAGAGAGCGGCGGGACGCACGTGGTTCCCGGCGAGGCTGCCCCCAACCCGCCCATTCCGCTTCCGGAAGAGGAACTCGCGTTTTATTCGCGTAAACACCCCCGGGTCTCTTCCTCTTCCGGTGGTGGAGGCGACCGTTACTCGAACCGCCCAACGTTTAAATCCAGTGCCCGCGCTCCCATTGGCTGAACGGCGCGACGAATGGGTGAAGCCGACGAAATCGAATTGGACCAATGGCAGAGCGCGCCGCGCGGCACGTGATCATGTGTTTGGAGTCTGGCGCCGCGTTCAAGCCGAGCGAGCGGCCGTGTCGCGGCCCTGGCGGTGTGGACGTTCGCGGTTTGAATTCCCTGTGTTGCATTGCCACGGGGGGACCAGCACTCGTCGTGATAATCGCGGGTAAGCGTCCATCCAACACGCGTGGCTACTTCGTGGAGCTTGGTTTTGGCTGTAAATGATGCTAAAGTGGCCGCTATGGTCACGGCGGCTTTGGTTGGAGGTCTTGATCCAGCAGTGGATGGATCATGGCCGACGATGCCGTCGCAAGCGTCACAGATTTTAAGTGCCGCTTCAAGTGTTAAAGACTGAAATTACAACTGAAAGCTGTAATGAAACATGTATAGCATTACCGTTATTACACTGCCAATAATGTAACGTGCAATGGCATGAACATGCCACATGCTATTATAGCTGCACATACATTTCGCCAACCCCCTACGGTACTAGGTGAGGGCCTGTCCGCGCCGTGTCGGTTATGTGCTGGTTTGACCATACTTCACCACGCTGGCCAGCGAGGGTTGGTGTTCGCCTTCTGCCCACAACGAACCCAAGCAGCAGCCCATGTTTAAATGCTCCATCCAGGATCTGCTAAGCTTTGGTGACCTGGCGATTCCGAGTAATTTGGTCACAGGCGAATGCATGAATACGGACAAATACATTAAGGTGTAATCAATTTGTAGATGCCCTGAACGGCCTCTGCAGGGTAAAGTCCTGACTAAAACCAGAATCCCCTGATGACAAGACAGTTGATGGTACAGCTATAATCTGCAGATGCTTGCATTTCACTAGCAAGTTTAGTAAAATATTCTAAAGTAACATGGATATAATTGGGAGCAAATGTTGTACTTAAACATTTGTTTTCAGCAACTTTCCCCTGGACCGCTATAGCGCGTGGTTGAGGCAGCGCCACCATGAGCTGGGCTGTGGAGGAGTGGAAGGATGGGCTGCCCGCACGGGCCCTGCAGAAGATCACGGAGATGGAGGCGCAGCTGGAAAAGCTGCGCAAGGATCAGCGCCAGCGCCAGCTGCACATGGACACGGTGGAGGCCGCCTGCGAGAAACAGAAGCAGAAGGTCGGGGGCAACCCCACACCCAGGCGCCTCGATGTGCCAAACTCACTTGTACTCAAGTCGCCTTTCAGTATAATTTATAAGCCCAGTTACCTGCCCACAAGCAGCATCGCAGCCTTCTTATTCCATGAGGCACAATAGTGTTGAAGTAAATTCGACTTGCAATATGTTTAAACAAAAAAAGAATTGACCAACAAAAGTATAATTCATAACTGTTGCGCTCAGTAGATTTGATTGAATGTATATTAAACTCAAACTTGGCATTGCACATGTCGAGGAAAATATGTTACGGTGGTGTTAATAACGATAACGCGTTTTCGGTTTGCTTGGACACCGCTGCTAATATAGTTATTTAATTACGTGTTATGACCGTTTCAAACCAGTGTTTTAACACAGCTCATCCGAAATAATTAAGCAGCTGGTGTTTTATTGTTGGCAACCTCAGTTTTTGTTGGATCTTTACACAATAACGACTGATTGTGAGTAACAAGTTTTACATTTCCAGCACAGGACATTGGAGGAGAGCACAGCCCCCATGCTTGTTTGATCAGGGAGATGCTCTTGGCTTAACGTTTTGATTCAGATAATGGCCTGACACCCCAGCTATTTGGCCCTATCACCTTACAACGACCTGTACATCATGGGCACCCTTCAAAGTGTGGTACTTTTTACACCGGAGAAGATTTGGTTCTTTGAGTAACATTCCACTTACATTTTTAGAACATAAGGGAAATGTTTTATTCTTAAACCATTTCAATTATATTATTCCAAATGAAACGAAATTCACATGCTGGAGTTTTCTATAAGTTCCTGCGGAACAAGTTACTGAATTCCCCATCATTAACTTTGCAGTTTTCTTGCAAACTCATGCTGTGCAGAAAATTGCAATGCGTTTTTATGATGCATAAAATATCAATGGCATGCGTACGTTAAATTTGTATTTCATTTTGTAAATTGTGCAATACACAGCTTATGTATGTTGAACTTATTTCGCACCGTACTTGGCCAACCGTGGTAATCTGGAGCGTCGGTGGTGCTGTTATCTCAGGTGGAGGAGGCAAAGTCGGAGATCTCTGCCTTGAAGCGGGAGAACCAGAGCCTGATGGATGCGTGTGATTCGCTACAAGCCGCACGGCAGAAGTTGAGTCACGAGCTGCAGCAGCGCGAGACGCAGGCGAACTGCCTGGAGGGCCAGCTCACCTCGGCACGCTTGCACACAGACAAGATCGAGCAGGAGCTCAAGAGGTAAACACCGCTCAGCCGGTTATCAACAGGTTGTTGGTCGGTATAGTTCAAAACAAGAAATCATTTGACATTGGATTGTCTAAGAATATGCATAATCTGGACACATTAGGGCAACGCCAGCCATTCACCTAAGAAGCCAGACGTTTCTTCTGCAGCAAAAAAAATTGTATTCATCACTCTGGAATACCCCACCATCACAATAAGGAGAATAGGCACAGACTCTACAGTCAGGGTGACAGTAATAAATGCAGCTCCATTTATAATCCGGCGAAAAAAGCAGACAAATTTCTTGGTAGGTTGGATTAGTAATCGAGTCGTGTGCACAACTGTCCATCCCAATCTCCCCTCATTGGTTTTGTGTCGAAGTGTAATGGGATGGTGGGAATGATCAGACTCACGGTGACGACAGTTTCATTTCCGTAGTTGAAATGTCTCACTTGTTAAATGGAAGACGGGTGTGCCCAAACTTTGCACGGGGTGAAATTACCAGTTCTCAATACACACATTGTGTATTTTTTTTAAATATTCATTTTATTGCCATCTTTGGGATGTAGTATCGACATACCTGTACACTAATGATTATGTTTAATAAGAAAATAGAGCCATGTGCATCGTGCACTGGGAATAATGAACTTCTTACCCTCTTGGAAAAAATTGGAGAGGATTATGTAGAGTTATGTTAGAAAGTAGCATAAATAAATAACGTCTTCATTAATGACCAGTCTCTGAAAAGTTTTTATTTCAATAAAAAACGAATTGCGTACAATAGAATATAAGAAAAATTAATGGATCCTTGAAGAATATTTATCATTTTGAGTGATCACGGAGATAGAATTGTTTAAACACAACTAGCCAGTCCTTACAAACAACTTTTCAGACGTTATTGATGGTATAAGGATCTGATGCATCATGTCCAGACTGTGGGCCACGATGTATTGACATTTAGGTTAAAACCCTTGGGTGCACAAGTGAAAAACTAAACTTCTTTTTTTTAACTAAGTAAGATACTGTACAGTATGCATGTATCATGAGGGACACTTTCTGCAACTCTGCTTAATATGAATTCCACATGTGTTAATTTGAGCTGAAAAAAAAGATTTCAAGATTAAAATAATTTCCAAGCTCATTGAACTGACAGAAAGCAAATGTAATTATGCAATCCTTGGCAAGGCACTCATTAATTAAGTGATTTATAAATCCGTTAAAGAAGCTGTTTGCACACCAGTGATGCTGCCTTTACATTGTTGTATATGAATGAATGTATTTTTTATTTGCAATGAAAGCTCGTAAATTTCCATGACTTAGGCATTTTTGTTCAGTTTTCTTCAACTTTAAGCTATAGGCAACTGAATCCAGTCCATTGTTTTGTGTCAGGCAGGCTTAACAATTCACAATTAACTGAACACATGAAGACAATTACGTAGCCCCGTCTGTTGGTAAACAAATACTGGACTTGTTTCTATTACCTCAGGACCAGTGATATAAGTACACATTGTTCTGTTGGCTTAATGTGTGCCGCTGGTCTTGCTGAAGCCATTTAGTAATGCCTCTGATACAGAGCTGTCCTGAAACTTTCTCTCGAAAGGTGCAAGAATGAATTGGAGTGCCGGTCAAGTGTCTCTTCTTCTGAGCTCCAATCTTTTTCCACGCCACATCACAAAGGAGCAAATAACTCTACGATATATCCTGAAACACGAGGTAAGTGTTATTTATTCACTTTGTTTTGCTCTATAATGTTTCTACATTCAGCATAGCTTAACCTGAATCATGACAATTCACTTCCAGTGAATCAATTTGCTTGGTACATTTTTGTTTTGGATTTCACTTCGATGATTTACTTGGTGCTTTACCATCACGCATATTTAGTCAAAGGCATTCAATGCAGGTCTTTTTTATTGCAGAAAGGAACACATCTGATGACAAATTTGAACAACTGTATGAGAAGTACAGCACAGAAGTGGCAGAGCGGAAAAACCTTGAAAATGAGCTGAAAGTTCTGCAAATCAAAGTAAGTTTTTTATGAAATTAAAATAGTACAGTTCGTATATCTGTAAGCTGTTGTGGTCATTGAAAGTGTGGTATAATATGCCTTCTCAAAACTATCAGGCAAGGGTAAAAAAGGAGATCATTTGGCATTAAAAGGACTGTGCTTAATATTGTTAAACCTGCAGGGTGTAACCTTTTCTTGTGATGCAATTTTTTGGTTTACTATTAATCTCGTGACAAGCTCCTCATTAAAACACAAGAACAAAACTCCCAAGTTTCATCGAATATGAGAGAAGTGAAAGTACGCCTGAGATTTTATGTGATCTTTCAGCTGGTGAACCAGACGCAGGCGGCCACTTCCACGAGTCGGCTGGCCATCGGTCGGCAGCAGGCCTCGTCCTCCATCTTCCCGTGGCAGAAGCAGAACACCACGACGCCTGCCCGCTGCGGCCTCTTCACGGGGGACACGCCTCTCAAGCGCACCTCCACCTCGTCGGTGTTCCCCTGGGAGAATGAGCCGGTGTCAGCCGCTAAACGCTGCTGCACCACGCTCTCCTCGCTCGAGGTGGTGCCCCCCAAGCCGGGCTCCATCGCAGTGCCCGTGGCAGACAAGCAGCTGGTGGGGGCGAGTGCCGCTGCTCGAGATGGTGGCGCTGCTTTTGGGCGGGAGCGGTGCGGAATGCCCACCTATAATTTGGCTGATGAAAGTATACCTTCTCGTAGCCAAGGTAGGTTTTGGTGTTTCTTCTCCGGAATAAAGTGTTTTTTTGGGTTGGATCTTGTAAATATAAATGTATCGTTAAACCCGACACAGCCAATTATAAAGTTTTGTCATGTAAACAAAATATGCCAATTAGTTACTTCTTCAGCACACCAGTGTGTTGGAGAGCAAACCCAGTATTACTTCCGTCGCGTATATGTATGTTGAATATCTTTCGCACCGTACCTAGCCAGCCGCACTAATCGCACCATACATAGCCAACCGTGCTACTTCAAGTTGAAGATGCAGTCCTGCAATTGCTTATTCACACCACTGCTGGTGGAAGAACCACCACTAGAGGGAGCCCATCTATAGTGTTTTGTTTCCTCTTCCACCCTGCCCAAACATCTTTGAAGAGGCGCGAGTATCCACACTTTACCCCAGCGTAATACGACCTGCCGATCGACAAACTCGTTTACCCATTTTATACTGCTGGTTGGACAGGAATCTGTTATGAAATTTTTTAAAGCATTTTTGTAATTTGCATTGTGACCTTGAATGCCACTCCACCATACACACACATTGATGTCCTGGGTCTCGTTTGTGGAAAGGCATGCAAAGGATGAACTGCAATGCATTGGTGTTGCTCCGACCCCTCCCCCAACCTCTTACCCAAATGTAGTTTTTTTTGTTACGCATCATGGGGATGCACCTCCATTTAGATGCAATATTAATTGAAGTGATTGTTGTTTAAGAGTTTGCTCAGATTTTGTTTACATTTATTTTGGTTTATAATTAGTGGATATTCTGCTCGTGGCAGTTTCCATGTCCAGAGTTATTTTCAAGCAAGTCTTTTTCTTGGAGAGAAAAACGAATACAAAGTTCTAAATTACAATGAGTGCATGTCACGAAATAATGCGCACTTTGAAAACATTGACAACTAGCGATTGTTACATTGCTGTGCAAGCTTTTGCTGTACGTGGTCGCTCACCTCTTGCATTTTTTGGTATTTTAATGAAGAGAGGGAGTTGGAGCAGCGAGTGCATCACCAGGAGATGGAGCTGGAGAGCTATGCCAGCAAGCTGAACGTTGCCATGGGACAGCTGGACTCAGCTCGGACAGAACTGGCAGAGAAGGAGCAAAGCCTTGTCAAGTCCCAGAATGCACTGTCTCGCTTGAACATTCAGCACGAGCAGGCAGTTGCCAAGGTATTATTGCTTCGTCTTACTAACACCTTGGTTCCACGTATCCTGCAGCCTTCAGGCCTGCATTAATTACATCTTGGGAACTGAGCCAAGTTAACGAATGCATGCACCCATCGGAGATGCTTTATATTGGCCGGCTATTATCTGTGCTCTCACTCCATCGTGGCCAGCAGGCAAGAATGCTTGAAGCAATGCTTTTGGGGAGATGAGTCTGCATCATGTTGAATGTAGAAGAACAAGTATTTTAGGTACACTATTAACTTACCATCAAAGTGTAATGCAAATTGTTGATGCACATACTTTTTTTGTCCAGCAATTTATAAAGCAGCAGAGCCAAGCAAGGTATGATGATATGCTGTACAATTGAAGCTGTTCTTTAGTTAGTACTTAAGGTGGAGGGTATCTATCATGGGAAAATGTAATTGTATGTTTGTTAAGATAACTTCTAAACCACTCCACCAATTTAAATTAATTGAGGTATCATTTAAAAGCTGATGATATGTGAATGGCCCTGGCACTGCCTACCGACTCTACCGTCTTACAGGAGCTATCTTTTGCTGCCCACGTGCCCCACAGCTAAACGATGCTTATTTTCCCCATGTGCATGATGTTTTGGTTGCTGCTGCTGCTGCTGGTGTGAAGGTGACTGCGCTGGAGCAGAAGCTGAAGCACGTGGCAGAGGAGATGAACTGCCAGCGACAGAACGCCGAGTCGGCACGCCTAGCAGCAGAGCAGCGCCTCAAGGACAAGGAGAGAGAACAGCAAGAGGTCACATGCGTGCGCTTAATTTACATTTGCTACACCTGCAGTTTTTGTCTTACACTTGTCACAGGCTTAACATGTATGTAATGGTTGATCTATGCACTCTATTGAACATTCACTCTTATTATTAACATTTTTAAAATGTCCTAAGGTGTGTTTCCTTTTAATTTTTCCATAGTTGTGGATATTTACATTCTTAGACTTCTTGTCTTGCAATTGCATTTTTGTACAAAAAAAAGTTTCGTGTAATCCTGGACATGTGGCTTTAATAATATTTTTTCTCGTGATACATTTTTAACCAAATTGTTTCATATTAACTGTCTGGGCTATCTGATTATTTAACTAATGTTTTACTCTACTGATTATCTGTTCGAGTCCTTGAATTATGCAATAACATGACAAGAATTGGAAAAGGTATAGCCTCTTTTCCCATGCGTGCCACTGGATGGAAGATGATGGATGGGATTTATTGATGTAATTGGCATCATGAGGCACGTCACACTGGGTGTGGGTGTGGTTTGTTTAGGGTTTCCCTCCTTTGGGAGATGGGGACCTAAGTAATAAACTAGGAAACTTTTTTGCTTAATTATTTGTTCCAGCTCTAATATTAGCCGTCAAACGCCCTGTTGAGTCATACTCTTGTTTTGCTAATTCAATGGGAATAAACTGGAGTACCTGGAGAACACCCGAGCACGTGGGAGGATAACGTGCCAACTCTGCACAGGTTGTTTATTTACCTGCTTGCTCTGCTGTCTCCTACATGCACCACCGATTCTCCTCTATGCAGTTGGGTATTGCCCATTCAAGTAGGGAGCAATCATTCATGAGTTATGAACAATTGCAGTATTGAAAGATAGATAATCAATTAGACTTGCTCAAGCATATGCACAATAATTCGAAAAGTGGACATTCTCAAAGGGCTGTGGTTGACTGTTTCGACAGAACACGATGTAATGCTGCTCCATTTGCTTGTTTGCTTATCTCATTAAGTTTAACATGTCTGTGATGCGCTACATTCAACAATGTTAACATAAAAACATGAATGCATTTATTAAAATGAAGCACCTTTCCTCATGATGTATTTTGGCCCTTTGTTGAAACTGTTATATAATTGCATTAAATTGGTTTGAAAGATCATAACTAATGTGCAAATGTTTATAAAAAAAAAGATTTCTAAACATTGATTTTGCAATGTCAAAACTCACCATAAATCAGAATGTGTACAACCTATTGAACTCATAATATCGATTTGGATTTGCCAGTACATAAATATACGTTGCCAGTTATTGAAGGTAAATATAGTATATGGATCGTGGATATTCCTTGCAGTGAGATGGTTGCCCAAATTGAATGGAAGATCAAATGTTAAAGGGAAGTTGATTCTTTAAGATCCACACTCCGACAATTCCTATAGTTGACCAGTCTGTTGACCACAAACTCTTGCATGCTACAAAAAAATGATGTTTGTTTTATTGAATCAATATTCAATGGTAATGGTTGATTTGTTAAAGTTATGGCAAATAGAGAAGGTAGCAAATGTGAATCATTAGATCAGTCTCATATTTTCATATGCTAATATCTCTAAAGGTCTGTGACAGTTTATTTTATCAACTCATTTCAATGTGGACTGGCATTGCCATTATTTGTGTCTGTTACATAAAGGCTGGATATGATGTTGAAACATTGAGCTGTGGTGTTTCGAAACGTTACTGCGTAAATTCCACTTGTGTTGTACACTCAAATGAGTGGCTTATCCAGGGCTGCTTGATGGTAGCAGTGTGTTCCCATTGTAGGAGGTGGCAAGGCTGGAGCACAACATCAATGGCTTGGACCAACAGCTGAGCCAGACAAAGACGAAGCTTGGCCAGGAGCTGCAGCACACCAAGAATGAGCACAATGCCCTACAAGCTGAATTTGACAAGGTTGGTGTTGCTTTTGAAACCATCCATTTTTAATTACATCAATACTTTTTATTTCAGTTTTACGCTGATGCAGATGCTCGTTTTTAAATTCGCTGTCCATCATGCATACTGAACAGATGTTAATATTGCATTTTCCATCGCAGATTTAATCACTTTGTTATTCCATGGTCATCAATTGTATGCATTATTTTGAAAGGCATTTTGTCGCTTATTTGACAATCGTCATCTCTTTTACTGATGTGTGTTTTTACGGTGTTACACCTTATAGCATTGGTCTATAATTATTGCAATACATTTTTTACCTGGCATTCTGTCCGCTTGAGAACCCTTAGGCTTGTGATTTGAGTAATTAAATTAATATGAACAATTCAAAATATTTAAATACATAAAAAAACTAAATTGCAGTCCGAGCTTGGTAACCATGGATATGCTACGGTAGTATGCCACATACTGCACATTCAGTTTAAGGAGCCTCTGTATTTGATGTTCTGTAGAATAGTAAAGACTACAGGATGAGCTAAACATTAACTTGCATAGCCATAGCCCTTTTTACATGTGACAACAAAAAATATTTTTCAGTAATTTTAACAAAAACACTTTAATAAATTAACAACCTTTATATTAAATTAACAATTTATATTCATTAATGTAACAAAAAAACGACTGGTTATTCAATTGCGGTTTATTTACATGGATTCTTGATATGCTATAGCTTGCAAGTAAAATAACACAAAAAACCTCCCAGAGCCCACATCATGATATTGCCCCTGTTAACATTGTGCTATTCTATTTATCTCAAATTAAACCCAAGGGATAAATGTCCCATCACAACATGGATATAAAGTGGTGCAATGTTCCAGTGGATTAAGGTTGCAAACCAATAGCTCATATCCTTGGTGTTGCCGTTGTATCATCAGGCTTTGCTTCAGAAGCAGCTTCAGGAGAAGGAGGTGCAGGAGCTGAAGCAGGTGTTGCAGAAGGCCAACGACAATGTCAAGCTGCATCAGGACATGACCAAAGATGCCAAATGCAGCTTGGAGGTACCAACACAGCATTTTATGTCCCATTTTCTCAACAGTTCACATGAAATATAGATTTTACACTTAGTTTGGACTACAAAATTACAGCTTATTTGCTTTTAGTTACAATATGGGGTGTTAATTATATTTCTACTAATAATTAAATTGATCATTAAAATATAAAATAACAGTGTTTACCGAAATAAAATGCACACTGACGCCTATCTGAATGCAGAGTCACACCATCACCCCGCACAGAAATCTGCTCTTATCAAGATGCTCATTCATCGAGCTAAGAAAGTGTCAGATGGTGGCATACAGTCTGAGAAGTTAAATTCAACATGTTAAAGAAGCGCTGCAAATGAACGGTTACAATGATGCACAAATCAACAGGGCATTGAATACCAAAACGAAATCAAATAACGAGCATTGAAACTGCCCATATATTTAAAACGATCAAAATACCGTACATTGCGGGAGTAACTGATAAACTCGCCAGATGTTTGGAAAAAAAACATCCGAGTTGGATTTGGCACTGTGCATAAAATACAGAATTTAATATCTGGTGCAAAAGATGTATTACCGAAGCTATCAACAGAAGGTGTGTACAGAATTAACTGCACGAGTGATAAATGTTATGTTGGGCAAACAGGACGAATGATCAGCAAGAGACTAAAAGGACATCAGAGAAATATTAAATTCTTCCAAATGCAACTGTCAGCAGTAGCAGAACACGCGTGCCAACAAGGACACTCAATTGATTTTGATAATGTTGAAGTTTTGTGCAAAACTAGCTACTACTGGCCAAGACTAATTAGAGAATATATCAAAATTGAAAGAAATCAAAATAACTTAAACCGTTCGGATAGCTACCGTCTTAGTGCTGCTTGAAAGCGAATCATCAAATAATCCATTATTAAAATGCATGCCTACAAAGGGCAGCGTACTTCAATAGGGATTACCGTTGGTAGGGCTATTTTAATAAACACAATAGACAGGAAGGACAAGTTCAAAGGGCTCGCATAATGTACATGCATAATGTACGTTGCCTCAGTAATCCAGCACCCCCCACCCCATCATTGTGCAAGAGCGCAGAAGCGTAGTCACCACATCTACGCCTCTAGATAAGGAACGAAACAGTAAGACTTCACAAATCTGGCTGTCGCCTGATGAAGCTAGTTGTAATTACGGGCGAAACGTCGTACTCGGATTGTAAATGTTGTGGCTTGGCTCTCCAACACACCGGCGTGCTGTACAAGTGAAAAATTGGCATGTTCTGTTTACGTGACAACCCTTACTAGTTGGCTGTGTCGGGTGGTTGCGGGTTTTAACGACACATTTATATATTTACGCGATCTAACCCAAAAACCTCTATTATGAATTAAATGTATGACTCACATTAAAGTTTCCTTTTTTACACAGCGAAAGTTGTTAATTTTTTTTTCGTGTAGGAAGCCACCAAAGAGAAGAATAACTTAAGCTGCAACTTGGAGCAGAGTGCCCATCGGGTGAGAAAGTTTGAAGATGATATGAAGAATCTCAAGCAAGAGCTCCATGACAGCCAGAGACTACAGGAAGACTTACAGAGTACGTACCAACATTTTTTTGTAATCGTCCGTTATTGTTGTGTTTGGTGTGTTGCCACATGCCACTGATACAATAATTTGGGTATAGAATTGGTCATGACTAAGGTCCCCTGATTAATATGGACAGTGTGGTACCTGTTGGAGGCAATGCACAAGTTAGTTGCTGGCCTCTTGAGGGCTTTCTGTGGATGTATGAGTTTTTGCCAAGCACAGGTTTCCTCCCACATTCAATGCTGTCAAAGTAATTCACCTAGAACTCCAAGCAGGACCCTTCTGAAGAAGTCTCGAATCTCATTGAGGCTTTTTGTGTTTTGTACAGTATTTGAAAGGAGACTGACATGTATACTTATTGCATGTTTGTGTTGTTTGTTTTAAAGGGAAAGTGGTGTCTCAAGAAACCGAAGTTGAAAACTTAAAATCAAAATTGGAAAAGCAAAGCAAGTCGCTGAATGGCAATATGGATAATCTAAAGATTATTATATCCGATTTGGAAAAGAAGAGAGATATTGCTTTAGCTGTGGTAAAGAAAAATGAATTGGAGATGGAAAAAATGCACTTCCAATTGTCTGCATCTACAACTGAAAATGAAGATCTTAAGAATAAGTTGTGTCACAAGGCAAGTGCATGCAGCTCCTTAGAAGATGAGAAAGCATCCCTTATTCAGCTTAAAAAGGAAATGTCTGATAACCTAAACAAACTGAAATTGGAAAGGGATGGGCTGGCTGGGAAGGTACAAGACCTGGAGGCACAGATGGAGCAAACCCTGTCTGTCCCACTGGAAAAGCAAAACACCGATGTGCTTGAGCAAGAGAATAAAACCACAAAGACACAGCTGTGTGAGCTGAAACAGGCACTGGACAACACATGTGTGAAGAACACAGCACTCAAAGAAAAAGTATGGGCTCTGCAAGAAGAGCTTGAGGAGTCTGTGAAGAATCAAGGCGCGGAAATGATTGAGTTGAGAAAAAGCTCGGCACAGTTCTCCGAAAAGGTGGCAGGTTTAGAACATCAGCTGAACTTTGAGAAAAATGCTAATGCTGAACTTAAAGAAGAAACTGCGGGTTTAGAGAGACAGCTTACAAATAGCAACAACTTGATGAAGTCTAAAGAGCATATTTTTGAATCAAAGGAAGCAGAATTAAAGGTGATAAAAGATGCATTGCTGAAGATTGTTGAAGAGCTTGAAAAGGCACATTGGGCATTGTTTGAGGAAAAGGCCAACACTAATGAAGACTTTGGACCTAAAATGTTGGACACACCAGAGCAAAACCTCTCAACAATTGAGCCGTTTGTAAGATTAATGCATTATTTTACCATTTTGGGGGAGCATTTGTCGACTCTACAGTCATCTCTTATTGCTCATAAGCAAACGTGCAGTGAGCTGGAAATTAAATCTGAATCCCAGTTGCTAGAAATGTCGAAGGCTGAGGCACAGACACTGGAGATGTCTGCTTCGTATACCAAGCTGCAACGTGAATTTGATAAGAACACATCCAAAATGGAAGAAGACCTAAATGAATGGACTACGCAGCTTGAAAATATTCAAAAAGTCCTAGAAGAAAAGAACACAAATTTGAACGATATCTCAAAACAACTTGAAGATACACAGGCCAACCTTGTGCTGCAGCAAGAAAGGAATACAATACTGCAGCTGGATCTTGAGGAAGCACATCATAATCTAATAATGAAATCAGAGCAACTTGAAGGTTATGCCATCCAGAGTAAAGAAAGTGACAGTCACCTTGCTAAAATTCTGGAGGAAAACGTTTGCATGAAAGAGCAGGCGAAAGCTTATGAAGATTTCACAAGCAGGCAAAACCAAATGACACAACATGAAGAAATGATAAAAGAGCTGGAGACTACAGTTAACTATTTGAAAAGTGACCTTGGAAATGAAATACATTCTAGAGAGTCGAAGTGTAATCAACTGCAGGAGGATGTTCGTGAACTTCAGGCGCAAAATGTAACGCTACAGCAGGAAAAGGAACAGCTGCTAAAATTGCAAGATGAAAATGAAGCTCTTATTAATAATTTTAAAAGCCAACTGCAACAAGCTGAACATTATTCTTTACAAACAAAAAAGCAGGCCTCCAAAGCAGAAAAGGAATTGGCCAATCTTCAAGAACAATACATGACCAGTGTGGAAAAGCAAAGAAAGCTAGAATATATGTTAAGTGAGCAGGAGAAAGAATTGGCATCCAAAATCTTGGAAATTGCACAGGTGAAAGATAATTCTCACGAGGCTCTCGAGCAACTTATGTCAGCTATTAAACAGCTGGAAGAGAGCAAGTGTGAGTTGGTGGAAAAGCTTAAGCAAGCAGAGTTGCAGGACAATACAAATAATAATAAAATTGCTTATTTAATGGCTGAGGCAGAATCTGAGGTTAAACAATTTAATGAAGAAATTACCATGCTTAATCGCAGGTTGTCTGACGTTCAAGACGACAATCAGGCTCTACGACTAAGCAATCAGAATCTGGAACAAAAGATTTGTGAAAACGAGAAACATTTGGGCTCAAGAGAAGAAGAAATGATTGCAAGGCAAAATGATTATACCAAGACATTTGAACAGTTGAATGTGATTATTGGCAAGCAGACTGCACAGCTTCAGCAGCTAGAGGGGGAAAATACCAAAACAAAAGTCACACTTCATGAAAAGCATCAGGAACTGGAACAGCTAAAAGTGAAACTAGAGGAGTGTGGATTTGACTTTCTGAAGATTTCAGGGAATTTGGAGATGCTTCAGATGGATCTGGAAGACAAAGACGTGAATTTGGAATTGTACGAGTCACAAATCAAGCAGCTCAAGGATACAATTGAGTCACTCGACAATAGGTTGTCTGAAAATGAAGACGTTGACAAAGTGAGACAAGAATTGGAAGAACTACGGGTGCACTGTGATGCTCTGAGCGGTCAGCTTTTGGAGAGCCAAGCCTCTGCTGAATCACTTGGATATAAAGTTGCAGAGCAGGAGAAGCTGCTATCTGATCTAAGGGTAGATGTGGAGAATGCGCACTATCGTGAAAATGGTCTCTTTGAGAAACTCCACTGTGTGCAAGAGCAGTTGGAAAGTAGTCTTTTGGAAGCAGGCCATCTCAGAACAGATGTTGACAATCGGAATAGTGACATCGCAGCTAAGGATAAAATTATCTGTGATCTGACAAAAGAGTTACAGCTCTCAGAGGATAATATTTTCAAAGCTAGAAACATGTACAATGATTTACAATCAGAATCGAATGCACTAAAGGAACAGCTGACCAAAATACAAAGTCATTGCATTTTAAAACAAGATGCTATGATACAGTTAACTGGCACTAATAACAATGATGAAGAAAATGCTGTAAACATTCCACCCACACAACATGGTTTAAATATCTGCTCATTACCATCATCTGAACAAAATTCCAGTATAAATATAGAAACTGAGTTATGTCAGCTGAAAGCAGATTATGGTGTCCTGAGTGAGAAATTTAGAGATCTCAAGACAAACTATGATGCTCTTCAGAAGACCTGCAATTTACTGTCAGAAAAAAATACATTTGCTTTACAGGAGAAGATTTTAGCCGGATCCCTTCTTACACAGGCTCTTGAAGAACAGGAAGAGTTAAAGGTCGAATATAACAAAGGACTGTTATTGCAAGGGCAATATGAGGCGCTGCAGAGCTGTCATAATGAGTTACAAGAAAAGGTTCAACAGACAGCAGAACATGTGGTTGAATTAAACAGTGTTATTGAATCTCTTCGCTTAGATAAGAAAAACATGGCTGAGACTCTCATTCGGCAAAGTAATAACGCACAAGTAGAATGTCTGGCATTGCATAAGCAAGTTCTTGGCCTACAAGAAAAACTTAAAGACACACAAGAACCCATGAGACAAGTACTCACCAAATCAGAGTGTAACATGGTACAGCATTTACCTCATTCATTACGGGATAATATAGATACTAATAATTCAGATGTGGAAAGCATTCATAAAAGGCCAAAACGTGACCATGATGTAGAAAATGCACATGCAGAAGAAATGCATGAAGGACATGATTTTAAAAAGTCCATTGAGTTAGATGACCAGCTAAACAACATTGTTGAGCTCAGCGTTCAGCTTAATATTGATAATTTGCAGGAAGAAAGTATTCAAGGTACTCACAGTGCTAAAGACATAACGAACGAAACTAAGGTTTCAGAAATTTTGGAATCTCAGACTGTGCTTAATTCAATCAAGGCAGATGAATGTGAATTGTCCTGTAATATAGACACTTTACAGGAGAAAAATTCAGTTTTACTCAAACAGGTTAGTGTTTTTGAAACAAACCAGAACAATCTTTTGAGCCTTGAGCAAGACTTGGATAGTGTTGTCTCTCAGTCTGAACATGAACAGGCCAAAGGTTCTGATTTGATTGTTAACCTGCACAGTTTAGAACTGAACAGGACCTTGTTAGTAAACAGAATTCAGGATCTTGAAAATGAAATGCAGCATATAAAGTCAGAGAAGCTTGATCTAGAAAAGCAGATTTTGTCATTGGAAGCTGATGCTCAGGATGCATATTCCAAGAATGCTTCCGTTGAGGAGATGCAACATGAGCAGACACTATTGGCACTGCACAAAGAAGAGATGGTCTCAGTAAAAGCTGAACATGCGCAAATTGCTACAGAGCTTCACAGCCTTTCAAATGCACACGCAACATTGCAGAACAGCTATGAGATTCAAAACAGCCAGTTGTCTACAATGAGGTTGGAAAAAGTGGAAGCTGCCGAATTAATTTGCTCCCTAAAAGCTGAATTGTTAGAATTTAAGGAACGACTGCAAGTTTCTGAAGAAGGTTTTTTGCGTATGTTGAACTGAAAAAGAAGAAATTTGTAATAAGCTCAAGAACCTTGATAATGAGGCTTTAGCTAAATCTTTGGACTATAAAGAAAAGATGGAGAGCATTGAGCTCCTTAGGAATATGAAAGAATTCGCAGAACAGAGGGCTGAAACTTCACAGGCAAAGCTAGAGTGCTTACAAAATGAACATTCCAGAGTCTTGGAGTCAATTAATTCTGTGCTTCTTGAGAAGGCTATGCTTGGCAAGCAGCTAAATTCTACCGAGGAGACCATTGGTGAGCTGAAGCGCTACATAGAGAAGCTCAAGTTGATACTTGAAGCGGATGACAGGAAGAGAAAAGAAATGGAGCAAAAGATACGCCACAGTGAGAGGAAACATGACGCCCTGCAGGATAAGATTGAGCAGCTGAAAAGAGAGTTGGAGATGAGCGAGGCCAGCTTGGAAGACATGGTTCTGCGCCAAGAGGCAATCGAAGAGGATGCCAAGATAGCTGTGGAAGAAAAAAACGTGGCGACAGAAAACTATGAGTCTTGCAAAGCGCAACTGGACCTTGTGTCTGCAGAAAAGCAGGAGCTGGTTGAGGAATTTAAAGAGAAGCAACATCAAGTGGATGAGGCTAAGTCCACCATCATGGCACTGCGAGACACCCTGCAGAGGCAGCAGGAAGATAACATGAATACCAGGAAGGCGTTTGAGAAGCACTCTTCACAAGTGGAGGTTGAAATGGCATGCCATTTGGATACAGCTGTCCATTTGCAGGAACAAATAAAACTTCTAAATGAGCAGTTGGTATCTTGTAAATCTGAGCTGCAGAAATGGCAACGACAGAAGGATGAATGGCTCTCACAATGCCATGCCCAAAAGCTGGCGTGTGATATCATGCAGGTGGGGTTTCCGTGTTCACTTTGAAAATAATAGCTTGTAAACGTGATTGACTCGTTGCTGAAAAACAGCTCATTAAGTTCAAAAGATATATACATATTTTTTTAAAGTGGTTATAGTTTTTTTTAGTTAAACAAGCGTTTGACTATCAAACGTACAATTTCTAAATGTGTTTTTTTTATCTTCCTGTTTAATATTTAAGGTAAATGTTTGTGCCATATTCAGCTTTTTCCACATGTTTTAATCAAAGTACTTTAAACCTGCGTAAGTCACAACAGGAATATATTTGCCATTTATAAAATTGCAAACCTGAATAGTAATTTCTGACTCGTGTGTCGCATTGTGGCTCAGGAGAGGGCTGCAGCGGCAGAAAGCCACGTCGCCAGCCTGAAGAACACCCGTCACGCATTGAGTGTGGAGCTTCAGTCTGTGCACCAAGTGCTGTCTGAGCTACAGGCGGAGAGCAATGTTGCACTGGCAGAACTGCAAGACAAACAACAAACCTTTGTGGAGGAGCTTCACAAAGAGAATGGTAGAAGATTGGCAGAGAAGCAGGTGGAAAATCATAGGGCATTAACTGTGCTGCATGCCCAGCATGATGAGCAACTACTCTCTATCCGGGTTGATTATGATTCTGCTCTTAGCGAAATGTGTGCCAAGCACGAGACCTTGCGTGCAGAGATGGCAGCAAAACATGGAGAGGCGACGATGGAAAATCGGGCATTGAAGTTAAAATTGAAGACTCTGCAGGAAGCTCATCAGCAACTGGAGGTGGCGGCTTGTACGTTGAGGATTCAGGTACCTTCAATTATGTGATACTTTAAAAGAAGTGGTCTTTGATATGATAATTGATGTCTTTGTTTAACGGTTAGCAGTCAACTTGCAATCCAGAGGTCACTGGTTGTGTTCATTCTCCTGGCATGGCAGTTAAAACAATGGTGTTAGTTTCTGTAATTCCCCCCTGCCGCCACCTCTATCCACCCAATAATATAATTGGGTACGCGACAGTCGATCGGCAGATCCTGTGCGGTGGGGTAGGTACTCCATGTGGAGATTAAAGATAGTCGTGCAAAGTCTTAAGTCACCCGTGAGCTTTATTGATCAGAATTCGATCAATTAATTGACACGTGGAAATGTGTTTTTGAACTTCTTTCGCACTGCACATATATAAATGTGAACATATTTTCTGCTAGAGTTGATTACACGAATCTGAGCATAAAACTACCATGTGCATGAACCCATAAACAAATATGGAACGATGCCCATGAACTCGCATTGAGGCCTTGGTCTATCAGACGGACTCTTTCATCTCATCCATACTGTGTTCAACCACCACACACAGTGCAGGTCAATCCTCGTCTCTTTCTGCTGCTTTCCTCGCACTGCTCAAATGTGGAATTCCCTCCTATGGTCTCCTTTCTCAAGTTTCCAGAAATGTTTTAACCATTTTTCTGTTACACCTTCAATGGTGCTGTGTGTTGCTGGCTCGCTTTGTCACAGCATTCGGCAGAGAGGGTCGCGCTTGAGCACCAGATTAAGGATCTGCAGGAACAGATTTCCAGCCAGGACAGGAAGATCGCCATGCTGAAATTAGCCAAGGAGCACGATGACACCGAACTGAAGGATGCTGAGAAACGCAAGCAAGAACTCGTTGATGCCAGAGTGAGATGACCACGATTTCTCCCCCACTGCCACTGCGACATGACCAGGCAGCTCTTGCAACGTGAACGTTTTAATAGTGCACATTAGAGCTGAGGGAGTCTCGTGAAACTCTGTCGAGAATTGTAGGGTCAGTGGGGTAGGAATGCAGGGTCCATAGGGGCTTGGCCAGCCCATACTCATCATTGTGCATTTTGATCAATTGATTTTTGTTTGCAGTGAATGCTTGTTAAGCATTATTATTATTAAAAACGGCAGTAACAGTTTGATTGTATGAATGTATATACAGTAGTAAGACAGTTATGTTTGCAAATAACATCTAGCAATCCAACATAATGATTTGATACTCTTTGGTTCTTTCGGTAAAGTCACGTAGTTAGAAATAAAATACAAACAAATCATGACGTTTTGGTTGCAACATTAGCAATCATCAGGTGGGAAAACCACAGCAAGAAATTTTTTTTTGGCTAAAGCTTCAAATCAAGATTAGAATTAATTGAGTTTAACACGTAGGCTTTCGCGACCAATATCATCCATAATAGAGGTTTTTGGGTTAGATCGCGTAAATATATAAATGTGTCGTTAAAACCCTGCACCACCCGACACCGCCAACTAGTAAGGGTTGTCACGTAAACGATTAATGCTGCTGGACAATATTGGGCCGGGATACCAATAGGCTGGTGGACTGAAAATGTACACTATTTACGTGTCAAGGCACAGAATGGAGATCTGCTTGTCCATATTTTATTGTAGTATCATGTCTCTAGCCAAATATGTATTCCCAGGGAGCTGCTGTTCCCCACACCCATGCACATGTGCCTATCTCGCTTTCAATCATTATTTTGTTCTACGCTCCCCTTTGAACATTTTCACAAAGACACGTTTCCTGCCTTATGTTGTTGCTGCCCACCAGGTGGCGGAAGTCGAAGCAGACAAAGCCCGATTGGCCAAGGAAAAGGCTGCTCTTCAAGGAAAACTACAGCTGTGGTTGAGCAACGGTCGGCAGCTGGAGAAGGAGAAAGAGGAACTGCACAAGCGAATTCACAAGATGGAGGGGAAACTGAAGACTCTGCAAGGTGCAGTACATTGCTCATATAAAATGACCTTTAAAAATAATTAAAATGTACAGCCCTTTGTTAAGCCACTGTCTGGATGAAAGCCCTAACCGTGCAGTGCTGGTCATGGAGGTTGTTTTGACCATACCTCACGACGCTGAGCGTTGCTGATTCTAAAAGAGAGGGGCCGGTTCTGATATCACTCGCCACTGATGTCTACCATTGCCATGGTGAGTGAACATATGGCCAAATAATCAGCGTGAGCGACACAACGTGGGGGAGATCTTCAGCAGTGAATTGACAATGGGCTATACTTTAGTATACACTCGGCATCCTGACGGGGGCTACTGTTTCTGTATCGTTCTTAGATTTTGGTGTTGTACGTACATATTCCCATTTGAAAAATCCACTGGCATCTCAAGATAGTTTCTCTGAAGTTTCAGGCATTTGGAGTGTGACATAGTTAGAGGCAGGGAATGGGCACGACTATCCACATACACTTGCAGGTTATAGTGACCGATATAGCTATAGTACATGAGCATGCTCAAGGCATTACTCTTCAACCTAAGTTCAGTGCAATGCAGTAAAGATGCTGGTCTTCAAAACTATTTTCTTGCAACTATCACTTGTACCTGCAAGGGCTTCTGCCATAAAGCATGACAATTGCTCTATTTAAAGACTCTGGGAAAAGACTAATGTGAATATGCTAATTTGAATCAATTACTCACATTACACTCATGAGAATACTGGGAAACTCTTGCATTTGTGTATGCCCTTCGGTATTTCATCAGGTTTTTCATTTGCCAGGTTGTGCCTTTTATCAGCTGCACCATATGCTGAGCTATTTACTGGAGACCAGCTGGAAAATTGGCACAAGCCGCTGTGGAATTGCTTTTAAAGAGGGCAGTGCATGGATACCTCTGTTTTTGCATTTATGTATTACTGATACCCCTGCTAACCCTGCTCTGAAAATTATCCCTTAAAGCAGCAGGTGAGATTCATTTGTATTTTTTTGTTTTCAAAGAGCAGGCTGATAGAGATGTTTTATAGCTGGCCTATACAATTATTTAAGTAATCGATTACTCTACCAATTATTGCTTCGATCACTCATTAGACAGCACAACAATATTTGGAAAATGCCTCACCTCTTACCATGTGTGTCGCTGGACGGGAGGTGATGAGGGTGGCATGGTAACTTGGCATTATCAGACGCGTTGTGCAAGGAGTGGCTTGTAGGAGTTTTCTGCCTTCAGTAAACAGCATGCGGGGTGGCCACCATTTTTAAAGGGGCCCAAGTAATCAACCACAAAAGATGAGTCGATTACAATTTGCCAATTAATCGCATAATTACCCCAACTATCATTTTCCTATAAAATTGTACAAGAGAATGGCAAGCACTGTACTCATTTCATTTTATACGTTTACATTTTACGGTAGTGTCTGCATGTGCATACATGCCCTGGTATTTGTAAGTTCCAAAACCTAAACACAGAGATTGAAGACAAATGTATGTAAAATACCTTTTTTCAGTTTGTTGTGCCGTGCGATACAGAACGTCGTTACCTCATTTGCAGCTGTATCAGCGCGGCTTTCTTTTCACGGTGTTATCCCTTGGGGTAGCATGAATGCAACGGCTCATCTGCGAGTTTCCTGTGCGTTCAGAGCCAACCACAACAGAACTATTTACCAGCATTTAATAAAAATCGCATACCAAACTGAAATGCTCAGTTGGCCTGATAACTGTACAGGTGAATATGGTTTGAAATAATGTGTGTAGTATGTACTATTTAGATGACTGTATTGAGTTTAGCACACATGTGAGTGAACATGGGTTTTTAGGCTAATTCATACTTGGACTCTACCCTCCTGGAGTCTCTCAATCCATATAGCTATCAGAAAAATAACTGATAAAATAGAGATCACTTGAACCAGGTACATTGCAGCAGAGATTATATTAATGCAAAGTCAGTGTGTGAATGGCAACGTTTATTTGCAGTTATATCACATAGCCTCATTGCCATAGCAACAACATATTTGTCCGCATGTAAGCAATAAGGCTTTTATCTTTTCAGCAATGTGATGGTTATCGGCGCAGTTGCTCACTTGTGGGCCGTATTGGTGCACCCTCGAGGCATATTAGATTGTTGTTGATATCGCCATTTCACTTGGTTTCTTAAGCCTTCTGTGATGCTTAGAGATACTCCGGTGGGATAATTCGAGAAGCGGATCACATCACGTACTTAAAAAGAAAAAGTAAAACATCAAATTTTGTATGTAAAATAGTTTTCACAATATTTGTATAATTAAGAGGTTTTTTTTAAATAAGTGATTATAAGCGTGCAGACTAACAAAGGGCACACTATCTGGTTTCACTGCTATTAATGAGCTTTCAAATGTTTGTACACGCTTATTAATTTTATGACTGGTCTTATAGTTGCATGTTCGTAAATCAATCTTGATTATTCTTTTTTCCTAGGCTATACATAACTTAACTTAAATGCATATTCAAAACGTATTACATTTTACAGTGTTCATTGATAACCTTACCATGGTATTCCTTTAACATATCATTTCATTGTGGTTGTTGGCTAAACTTTTTAGTTTTAATACTGATATATGTAATTTCAGTTTATTTGGACAAGGGCCGTGGCATGATTTAGTCACATATATTTTTATTGACATGGATTGCATCTATCTCATTTACAAACTTACTTATTTTAGAAACAAAATTGGAAATTAGTAACGGTATAGGGCAATGTAAATTATGTAGTATCTGCAAGACGCCAGCGAGTAATGTGAACAACATACATTCAAGTATTTGTCTCCCTCGACAGCCATTACTAGTGGCTGGAGAATTCTTTACAACCTACCCGAAATTTACTTGGTCAGGGCTCTTAAATATCCCACCTTGGATAAATACAATTACCTCGACACAATAGCAATTATTCCCAAGATCATCTTTAAGCAAAAATTTTACTCGTTTGCGATTTAGCAAGTGCATAGCAAACTCAATACTTGCAAATTTCAATAGAATGTATTGTAAACATGCTGCACATGTGTGGGAATTTATAATTTACAGAATAACTCATGAGGTTCCTCTTTAGTTTGTTCAAGTTTGTAGGAGTGGACTCTGGCTTGTGTCGTGGAATACAATTATTTGGAAGGTATGCTGAATACCGCGCAATGCTGTGTCTCAGGGCATGGGGCAGGCTGCAGGAAAGCGCTGTGTGATGAGGGAGACCAGGCGACGGTCAAGCGTGGCAGGAAGGGCGACGTCGAAAACAGGACTGAGGCAAAGCGCATGAAGCCCCTTCCCGAGGGGAGGCGCACTGCCCCACGCGAAGACACCACTTACCAACCAGACGGGCTTCCCGAGGTTGTGAGCAAAGGTGAATTTAACTTCTTTTTAAATTAAGCACGGCATTTTGTCAGTTTTATGAGCGGGTATTTTTTTATGGTGGGGGGACAATAATTATTGTATATTATTAGAAACAGCATAATATTCTTATTTCTTGTATTGGCGACCAAAAGCAAGTGAGTCGTTATTTCCACATTTTGTACTTATGACACTTGACCACTTTCTCTTGCAGCATTGTTTGTGTTTTGGTATACCGTTTGTTTTAACTTGATTTATGTGTTCGCGTGATCCCAATTGTATTGAATGATAAACTTGCTTAAAATAAGATGCAACTAAAAATATTAATAGCCGTTGAGTTTAAAGTTTAATTCATAGAAACTTTAAAATCCATCAGGAATGCTGCTGCCAAAGTGGGTTCTGGCAAAATAGCATTTACGCATTCATACGCGATAGGTCATTAAACTAAAGTACCAACATTATTTGTCTGACATTGATTTCAACGTTTTGTTTCTCATGATGAAGTGGCAATTTTGGGTCGAACAGCAGCGAACACTAAATATATGCGTAGTGTGCGTGTATAAGATACGTGCTATTTGCTGTTTTATGCATCTTTCTTGAAGCAAAGCATAGGGATGCACTTCACAGCAGATTGTGGTCATTATCCTATTAGATGTTGTTGTCCCATTTGCTGGGAGAGGCTTTGCAGACATCCCGTTGGTGCTGGAAGCCAGCCCGTACGTGCTCTGCCGCACCACCATGCTCTCCCGGAGGGGGGGAGAGGATGCAGCAGCAGCAGCAGCAGCAGCTTCACCTTCTTCACCCGCTCGGAAGCACCCCGTGACAAACCTCCTGCAGCCTCGGCTCCTTACTCGGAACACGACCACTGCCAGCACCCCCATGGTAATGCTGCACACTTAAATATCACGATTCGCATTCGTAGGGTACTTGTATCATTCATCAACTAAGAATGCCTTGCATCACATCTCAATACTTCTAATGTCCAAGGGGAACTCTCGTGGCAGTTTTCCTGATGTGGTGCCCTGAAGCAGAATCATTGCTCTGCTGCATATTCATCACTGAACTCTCTTATTACCTTTTACCAACCGTTGCTTTGACTACGGGTCATGTAGCTCGAATAGTACTGCGCTTGGTTTTCACGTTCATCGTTAGTTTTACTCCCTTGTTCATTGCCACTTTCTCAATAAAGTAATTATTGGCTTATACACATTACCGGCCAGATTTCATATATCCACTTACATGTATGAAAATATTTAAATATATATAAACTAAAGTTACACGTTTCAAATACAAAATTTTACAAATATTGCTCCAATTGTGTTTTTCTAATTTAAATATGGAGTAATTCAATGAATGGAATTTGTGTATATATAAACGTTAATCGGCTCTTTATCTGAAAACACATTCTTGGTATATACGATTTTATCTCCAGAGAGATTTGTGTCAAATAATTCTAAGTGTGCTCATCGGGCTTGCAAACGGTTGAGAGTATGAGCCGTGAGTGATGCTAACATAGAGCTTCACCCTCCCCGGTCCGCGTCTCTGCAGGGCAAGGAGCAGGGCAAGGAGCAGGGCAAGGAGCAGGCCAAGGAGCAGGCCAAGGAGCAGGCCAAGGGCAGCCTCCCATCGGCGTGGTCGGCCTCTCCCATGACGGTCATCACCAACAGTCCCAGCCGGACGGCCCCAGGCTGTGGCGCCAGCAAGCCAACCAGCCAGCGCTCGCTCAGCAGGCTGTCTCCCGAGCAGAGGGAGAAGCGCAGGCAGACGCAGGCCACCTCCGAGGCACAGCTGGATGACAACTGCAAAATGCAGTAGAGCTCTTAACTGCATGCTAACCCAAAACACACAAATGAAGACACAAACGTGGTATTTTTTAAGAGAATCTACATTGGATAGAGTCTCACGTTCTTCATGTTACAGCAGGAATTGTTCATGTAGTTTCATGCACAATTGCGCAGATAACACACGCAGATTTGGGAAATCAAGTCGCTTTAATTGATGGGTTCGCATGCAATGCACTTCAGCAGTGGCTCCTCAAATTTCTGCCATTTTACAAACCATCACTGACTGAAGGCATATGGGCTAAGGTGAACATCCCATACATGCGCAAATTCGATTGCTAGGAAACATAGTTCTCTGAAAAATGAAAAGGTTTACTCTTTCTGGCAATAATACAGCTGCCAAGATGTTATTATTGGCAGAAGGAGTGAAGTCTATTCGTTTTTCATTATTTTTATACCGGCAAAAATGTTCCCGTAGATACCGTTCTCTTTATGTTTATGATCGGTATATACCAGCACTTTTCCTGACACTTAGGTCCCTTAATAATCTTACTTGTGAATTAAATATTCTAAAATATCCTTATCTATAGAAGTGGCTAATTTGTATTCTGCATTTTTGTCCAAAATCTCGTAGGCCACTCCACGAATTTCATTGAATGATGTGTTATTTGAAAGCCTATGATATATAGTTTGTGTGAATGAACATTATTGGAAAAATACCTTTAACCCAATTTTTTGGTTTATTGGTCTCAAGGCTGATTATCTGCTCCAGCATTTACAACAAGCTGGCATGTGGGGGTGGCAGGCGCTTGCTGAGTGGTGACACTTTTGTGCCTCACGCCAACAATGGCCTAGGTAGAATTTCAAACTGTGGTGCCTTCCTGTGGAGTCGATGTTCTCTCCCCCTGCTTTGCATGGGTTTCCTCCGAGTTCTCCAATTTCCTCTCATCGCAAAAGACAACCCATACAATGTCGCTGGTGTTGGCCAAACATCCCAATGCTAGAAAATTACCTGCACATTGCTCTATTGCAGGGGTATGCAGTCCAAATAATAATGAGCCATTTCTTTTCTAATTCAGTAAAAAGTATTTCAAGAGCCGCAATGCACGTTGGGAATGAGACGGTGGTCCTTCATAAACAACGTCACAGAGCAGCAGCAGTCCTTAAAGAGCCTCCGCACGCCGCTCCGGAGGTGCAGGTCACCGGCCCCTGGGCTATTGGGTTGACACAGCAACATCGCCTCTTACTGCGCAAACTTGGCAGGACCCTCATAAAACAAGTCTTGATACTCGGTGAGACTTCCCGGGTTAAACAAGCGTCCTGATAACGTGGTGCATCTCCATCACAAAATGATACAACTCGTAGGTATGTGCTATTGGGGTCAGGTGTGGGTGGAGGTAGGGAGGAGCCATTTTAATATGAACAGGCTACCCTCTTACGGTGTTTTTCACAAATTTTCAGAGGAGAGGACCACTTTCGCCGATAAATCACCAGTGTGAGGGCAGTAACATTTTAAACCATTGCGTTTCACAGCAGCAGGATGATAGTGTTTTCACATGTGTGTATTGTCGGGGGTTGCACGTCAGGGGTCGCACCGAAGGTCACCAGTGGCCGCCCGTAGCCTGCGGGCCTTGCAATGAAGAGCACTGCCATATTGTGTATATACTGGTGAGTGTCAGGTGGGTGGTAGATATACGTAATTCAGTCACGGCACTTAAGTAATTGTCTTTGTAGAGAGTCAAATAACAGTTTGCCTTTTCCAGAAGGAATGAGTGTATTGCTGATGAGCTATCTAAGATCTGATGTAAGTAAATAAAGTGCCCTGATGGGATGTAATGATGCTACGAGGGCAGCATTTGTAGTGGGAAAAGTCTGACAAGGTTAAAGGTCACTTGTATGCATTCTTGGGTAAATCAGATTTTTGTCAATAGCAGTTGCTGGGTGGTGGAGAGATACGAGGCTTCAGATCACTCGTGCCATGTGGTGGCATTAAGGATTGTAGTCCCAAACAGTTTCTGCATCTGTTGGATGGACTAGTACCAGATTGTGGTGGTGTATTATATTGAAATAACTTTTTTTACGTGTCGCTCACTTGTTATGGCAGCTCTGCTTTTGTATGTGATTACACACGTACGAGGTATATTCATGCACTTATGTTAAGCCCCGTTTTTTTAGTATTGCTCATGATTTTACAATTTTATACCCTTTATTTGCTATAAGTGCTAAAACATTTGTGAACCTGAACAGAATTAACACGTATGCTTGTGATGTTTAAAGTAACGATTAAATATCTCAACATAGATGCAGTCGTGCATATTTTGTGGGTCCATAATTAGAATACCATACACCTTGTTTCGTCTGCATTTACATATCCAATTCAGCAAGTGAAAAACAAACCACGTCCGTGGTTGTCCAATGCCATTGTGACGGTGTTTGAACGAGATCCCAAACGTCTCGGTGAGACTTTACTCAACATTTCACAATCAGGAATAATCCTGTTACCCGGTGTAGTTGTGGTGAGTGATGCTGCATTTCCAGCTTGCCAACTTGCCATTCGATTTCCGGTTATGGCTAATAGCAGTAGCGAGTGAAATCTGGACCCGTCATGGACTTTCCCACCCGTGCTAACCATTGTGACGAAGTATGGTTAAACAACGGCTATGACCGATATGTACGGTACTACATTTCAACAATTTTCCATGGTATGGTTAAAGGACCCGCATCTCCAGCATGCATATAATGACAGTAATCAGATTTTTCGATTTAAAGCAGATTCTTTGTAAATATAAATTCAAACTTAAGTTGTTTACATAGTGTATTTTGAAATCCAGTCTGTAATGAGCAGTAATTGTAGTGTATTCTCATAATCTTTTTCTTCTGTCAGCTATTTTTGTAATAAACCTGTAATACCACTTTTTATTTTGTGCATGTATATCATTACTATCTTAGAACTTGGCAAACAATTTGTAATGTGTGGTTACGTCACTAGGAAACATCATTCGGTTGTCAGTTGGGGTAGATCGTGTTAAAGAGCAGGTCGATAATAAGTGTATCGGAATGCTAAGGTATTAGTATTTAATGAAGGTGTGTTGGGTTATATCGCGTAAATATAAATGCGTCGTTAAATCTGCCACCACCTGACAGCCAGTTAGGTTTGTCACGTAAACAAATGTCAATTCGTTACTAGTTCAGCACACCCCCGTGTGTGTGTTTTGAATCGGTTACAAGCCACAGACATTTTCTGATTACTGTAAAAATTGTTCAAAATTATATAGGCTGTGCATTGTTGTCAGCTGCGGAAGGCAAATCTTAAATTGGAAGCTTTTTTCATATAAGTTGCTGCTGCCATGGCCGTGGTGACGCGAAATCACAAACGGAGATCCATGTCAGAAGTTCAAACGACTCGGAAAAGCGTCTCTTGGGAATGAATCACCGTTTACCAGCTGAACAAATACAGTGAAAATGTCTTCCTCGCGAGTGTGGGGTGGTGTTCATCTCCCTCGGAGACCCGAAGCCAGTGGCAGAACCCCCATGTTCTCACCCTGGGGCAAGTCAATAGAACGTCATTCATCAACCTTCTCCAAATAACTTTTTTTATGAATGTTAGTTCAATGTAACCAATGTGGACCGTTAACTGGCACTTTGAACCAACAGCCATCGACCGACTTGCACATTCTGGATTATAGTTTAGTGGCTTAGCCTAATTTTGTTTTACCATTTAGTTTAAGTGTAATTGGTTTGCTACACGGGTGGTCACGTGGAGCCAGTTGCCCTGCGACTGACACTGAGATCCACGATGGGCAACAATGACAAACTAAAAGACGAAAATACAAACCTCAACATTGCAAAGAACGAGTCCAGGGTCTTTAACGTTACCCTGATCGGGTGGATAAAAGCATCAAATTTCGTTTTTATGTCTGAAGTCCTTAGAATCAAAATGAGACTGAATTCTTGATAAGTATCCGAGATGCCAGCTCAGGCACACAGTATCCACATGGGCAGGTCGACATTACTGAGAACAGTTTCTCTGCACGCAAGCGACCTGCTAACATAAATTAGGTGGCACACACAAGGACAGACCGTCACTTTGTTTTCATCAGCCATAATCTATCCACTGCTCGATGAAGACCTCCTCGAGTCACGGCCTTCTCTCACGGTTCCGCAATGCAACCATTCATCTTGCTTCTGCACATCTCATCCGTCTCCCCAGTCGTTCTTCCTCTCATGTATGGACCCTCCTTTGACTATTATTCTGTCACCAGCCTCGACCATTAGCTGCCATCCCGTCTGGCGATGCGTTCTGCCAAAGCACACTTCATAGTCACGTTTAAGTGGAATTGTTAACCCATTTGAGAGCTCCACATGACTAGGTTTTCACAGTTGTGCTGTAATAGCTCTCCAAAGTGTTTGCAGGCTGTCCCGTGTAGTGTTCGTAATGATGCCTGACAGCTCCTGCAGAAGCTCCCAGCATGTGGAGTGGTCGCTGTCAACTAAAACCAAACTCGTTTTTATTTACCAAGGAAGGGCTCACTGAGCTTTACAGCTCAGAAGCGACCTGCCCACAATTGAAATCTCAACGAAGTGGCTTATCATGTGGAAATGTATCGCAGCCAAATACTTTAAACGCACGTTTCTAATTGTGGAGGGAAAACCGGAGGACTAGGAGATAGAACACACGGGGAGCACATGTAAAATATAAATATACAGCAGGTGTCAGGGTCAAGATCGAACCCACAACCTCCTTCATACCAAGCGAGCAAATTAACATCTCGCCACCGCGGCACTGGGCTGACTCCCTCCCCTTCGTTTATAATCGGCACTGCCCATTGCTCCCCTGCACATTTGACATCCATCAGGGGTTGCCAAACCGTGGCTCCCAGGTCGGCCAGGTGTGGCTCAACGGAGACGTATTACACTTAACCTTACACTCTCTTACTCTTTGGGTCTTTTGGTAAAGTCGCGTAGACAAAAATAATATTTAAAAAATCACGTTTCGATCGCAACACAAGCAATCGTCCTCAGGTGAAAACACATTTCACTCTATTTGAAAAAGGGAAAATCTGCGAAAGCGGTTGCCGCCAAGGGCACTCCTGCCCCTCAAGGACAGGAGTTCGTTCTGCCCAAGGCACATTTATAATTCAAGACTTCACAGCACCACGGCCGCAAGCGAAGCGACCATGTGACCACCCCACGTATCCACTCGTGACCTGCTCGGTGTCTTGCGGCTCTTGGTCAAATTTTCGCACCTCCGTTTAGCACGGCTGTCTACGTACGGTGCGAAAGAAGTTCTACCTACATACATTTTAAGATTTTCATGTGCAGCACATAGGGTCAAGAGGTTTGGTCGCGCCTGATATAGATCTCAGCAGAATGCAGTGAGCGTCACTCATTAGAATTCAAACTCCTTTGCTATGCAGACGTAAGGAAAGATCCATACGTGTCAATTGAAGGATCAAACTACTCTGACCTGCAAACCCGAGTTTGTCGTGCAATGTGTGACTCGTGCGTGCCGATGTGCTCTGCGCAGCAGCCGGTGCGTTTTGGCCAACAGTTCAAAGGGGAAAGCGAATCAATGTCACGTGGACTGTGACGTAAATATGACCGGTTATGGTGATATACTCGCACCAAAAATACAACGCGCGCTTGGAGTCGAGTTGTATTTTTACAACAGTTTGTTCCCCAAAAAATGTAACTATTTGATCATGGGCCATCAGATGATGTGTTTATATATCTGTCAAATATAAAGTTAAAGGTGAAACTCCTGCAGTTGATTGCTCACATCACTCCTGGTGGAAGGTCCTCCACTCGAGGGAGCTAAAGAGAGCTCCTCGAGAGAGTCATATGCCTACTCTTCCATGCTGGGCAGACTACAAGAGGCAGGAGCACCCACACTTTACCCCGCCAGACGTGACCTGCCGATCGATAAACTGGTTTATCCCTTTACATTAGAGTAGACAGAGGCCGAGGTATTTAATAAACTCGCAACGTTGTTTAGCGGCTGCACTGGGAGATGCAATTGAACCTGCAACCTCTGCATTGCAAGTCGAGTGTGATACTCACTGTTACATCATGGCAGCTTCGCCTGCATTAAAAAATAAACATGTAATTGTGCGAATTTTATTTGAGCGAAGAGGATTTACACTGCTGTGTTGCAAAAATGACATTTCATATATCTGAAAATACATTTTTTATAAGAAGTTTGACATTTGATTTGAAACGCACGTGGTGCTGGATGTTCAATCTTGCAGATTGCCTTTAGCAGTGGGATTTCAACACAAATCCCAAAGAGATACATATCATTAACATGACCATCAGCCATCATCAGTCCACTGCTAGATGATGGATTCCCCGAGCCAGAACCTCTCACCATCGTGCGATGCAACAATCCGCTCTATATTTATGATTGCACACAATTGAATAAATTCTTGTCAATCATGGTATACATTGTACATCTTTTGTATAATTTATTTTAATGAAACACATTTTAAAGTAAGCTGTTATGTTAAAATGCAGATACAGTATACAAAAAAACATGCATTCAAATATATATTTCAGTATTTATACTATACAAAAAATTGTGAAATGTGTTCTAATATACGTGACATAGAATGGTGTCAGTTTCACGATGGCATCTGATTTCCTTGTATCTAAAAAAAACCCACACACTGACATTCACTGCATTATTCACCAACTTTGCACGAGTCGCATGACAAGATCTGGATACGTTTAATTTATTTTTGGGCTGTCAAGTTCTGTCACTGACACAAAAAGTCTATAAAATAGCGGTGGAGAAAAATTATGTCTTGGTCTTTGTGTGCGAAGTGGTGGATATTCAAGGTGACTGCTCACTGCCACGTAAGGTCTGAGAGTGCGTGTTTGAAAATTTTACTTTCTCACAGGAAGGGCTGTCTTTGTTTTCAAGAGCCAATTTAAACAGTGATGTAGACTCTGAGAAGGCTATCTCTTTGAATACAAGTACCGATAACAAGAGATGACATATGCCATTGGTAGTCTGGAAAATACTGAACCGTTAAGCGGGGAAAATCGGTGAATTGCATCAATTAATCGACTTGAAATTATAATTTGCTACTTTTGTGGTCAATTACTCGTGTCCAGTCTGTAAAAGTGGTGGCTGCCCTCACATTCAGCCTCACGAAGCTGGAAACCACCTACAAGCCACGCCCAGCGTGACGCGGATGACGATGCCAATGGCGTCACCAAACCCCGCTCATCACATCCCGTCATGTGACACACGTGGGAACAGAGGTGGGATTCTTTTGAATTTCCAAAGATTTGCGTTATCCAATTAGTCGAGTAATAAAACTGCTAATTGATCGAGTAATGAACTACTTAAATAATCAGATATCCAGACTCTATTCAATAATTAATTAGTGATTGTTCACATGTCAGGTACCAGTTAGCTGCTCAAGACCAAGCCTGCATCGTGAATAATTTAATAACATCTTGGCATTGAGGCATCTGTTGCCCGTGCTACCAGTGAATGGGATAGTGGTGGGCACCTTCAGGATTTAACTCTCACGTGCTTTCGAGTTGTCCCTGAACTAACTCCTCGCACGTGGAGCAACTCCAAACATCATGTCGAACAACACGTGGTACAACCAGAAAACTCAATGGAGAGCTCTGTAGAGCACAACTGTGAAAACCTTAAAGATTTGATGTACAAAGTACGAATACAGACAAAGATAGAATGCATGCACGTGTAAATAGTGATGGCACGTCTTCCCATGCAGTTTATGGATGACAGTTTCATTTACAATATTCCTGCAGACTTTAGCTGCAGTTTATTATTTTGAATTTGAGTTTATTGAAATGTGACACGGATCATCCCGTTTATCCAGTTGCCCGGCTATTTTGCGAGGGAGATTTGCGGTGCGTGAGCACAGCAGCAGCAACAAC